GAAGCCAAAACAGGGTATTTTTCCTGTAGAGAAAAGGACCAGTGCCAATCTGACCAGAGGCAGGGCAGATCTGGAGAGCCAAGAAGAAGAAGAAGTGTTTGGATCTGATATCCCGCTTTATCACTACCCGAAGGAGTCTCAAAGTGGCTAACATTCTCCTTTCCCCTCCTCCCCCACAACAAACACTCTGTGAGGTGAGTGGGGCTGAGAGACTTCAGAGAAGTGTGACAAGCCCAAGGTCACCCAGCGGCTGCATGCGGAGGAGCGGGGAATCGAACCCGGTTCACCAGTTTACGAGACTACCGCTCTTAACTACTACACCACACTGGCTCTCTCACCAAAGGCAATCCTCCTTGTTGGCATGCCACAAAAGCAGGCCCTCACCCTCCACAGATCTCTCTCTGCCGTAAGGTGGACAGTGGAGCTTGGACGGAGGCAGAACTATGAGACAGAGACAGACACAGGCGGAAGAAAAAGGCTGGAATCGATCAGCAGCTTCTGCCTGCAGAGGAGTCCTTCCTTCTCCCTTACAGTAGAGCCACCACCAGAGCCAATCACTCCACCATCAATTCCAGAGAGAGACCCAGGCACAGGACTGGCTTAAGCAAATGCGGCGCCGGGATGCAAAGATCTGCCCGGTGCTCCCCCCAACTCTCAGGCCCCGGACTCTCGGCCTGGCACCCCTGAGAGCCCTGCACCCGGGTGCCCCGCACCCCTAGGGCCTATGGGTAAGACAGCCCTGCCCAGGGAGGTGCTTCAGATCCATTCCAGCCTTTTTCTTCTGCCTGCACCTCTCTCCATATGCTTCCTTTGATTTCCCTTTTTTAAAAAACCACAACTTTCATGTGTGCCTAAACTAGCACACCCATGTGTGGTGCTACCAATCTACATACAAAACTGAAACCAGTCGTGTCTCCTTAGCTTTCTTTCCCTCCTGGTGTCACTCAGAACTGATTCCTCTCGTGCAACAGTATCTAAATCACTTACAGTCCTGCTCACATCACAACCCTCCCTTTTAGAGAATTCATAGATTTCTTCCTTTCCTTCTTTTCTCCTGACCATCAATGGCTGGAGAAGAAAAAGTGTTTCATCAGCTGGAAAACTGTCCGGTGTGGCTCGTTTAATTACTGCCCCGCTCTAATTATGCCTTTTAAAAGTTATCTTTCATCAAGCTGTAATTTTATGGAGCATTAATTAATGCACTTGGGCATGTGGAAAAAGAGCCTTGGCAAACAACACACCCCATGCCTTTCACCTCTTCATCCACCATGCAGCTGGTTCATCTTATAAGGGTATATTCGGTCCCATAGGGCCTTCTCAGTTTTTCCTGAAAACATTCCCACCCCCCAGTGAATTCAACTATCTTCTTCTAGCCCCTCCTTTGCCATCCCTTCACAGACATAAACTGTGAATGCCTCTATCCCAGGGGTCAGCAACCTTTTTCAGCCATGGGCCGATCCACCGTCCCTCAGACCTTGTGGGGGGTGGGGAGTGGGGGAATGAACGAATTCCTATGCCACACAAATAGCCCAGAGATGCATTTTAAATAAAAGCACACATTCTACTCATGTTAAAACACCAGGCAGCCCCCACAAATAACCCAGAGCTGCATTTTAAATAAACGGACACATTCTACTCATGTAAAAACACGTTCATTCCCGGACCGTCTGCGGGCCAGATTTAGAAGGTGATTGGGCCACACAAGGATGGAAGACTGAAGAAACCCAAACTAAAGAATCATGGCAAGAAAAATTGCTGGACTATGCAGAACTGGCAAAACTGGCATATAAGCTACGGGACAAGGATAACTGTGACTTTAAGGATGAATGGGAACCCTTTACAAAGTATCTGAAGACACAACAAAGTGAACTGGACTCCTTGGCAGGTTTTGAATAAACATTCACAAACTTTTTATTGATAATAATTAGCTAAATAGTTTGAGGATCTATATAACTTTGTAACATGCAGAAAACTGCATTCTTAGAGAAACCAAAGACTGGAACTGAGGGAAGTCGGGGGGTGGGGTCGGGGTGGGTGGGTTTTGTGGGGGGGGGGGGAGGGGAAAAAAAAGAGAGAAGGTGATTGGGCCACATCCAGCCCACGGGCCTTAGGTTGCCTACCCCTGTTCTATCCTGTAATAATCATTGAGTTTCAAGAGTTTGAATAACAGAATGCTGGTACATTATCTATCTATCTATCTATCTATCTATATCTATCTATCTATCATCTATCTATCTATCTATCTATCTATCTATCTATCTATCTATCATCTCAGTCATCATCATTCTCCCTGTATGTATAAAGAGGAAGCAGTGGGCTGAGCACCTGCTTGGCATGCAGAAGGCATCAGATGCAATCCCTGGCATCTTCATGTATATATAGAGAGAGAAAGAATTGAGAAGGAAAGGTGAGGAGGCCTTGAGACCGTAAGGATCAAAGATGAGAACTCCATACCCTCCAACATTTCTCCAATAAAAATAAAGATGTGTCCTATTCCATACCCTCCAACAATTCTCCAATGAAAATAGGTATGTCCTACCATACCCTCCAACATTTCTCCTAAGGAAAAGTGGGCCATTCCAGGATCAAATCAGAAACTAGGGCGGCTTCTGCAAATCTGGAACTGTCTCTGGATTTACAGGGATCTTGGAGGGTCTGGGAATCCTATGGGCTCCATGGGCCAGACCAGGAATTTGTGTGGCTGGAACACAGCCCACTTTACAAAGCTAAGAGTTAACATCCATTTCTACTTTGCCTTTGGCCCCCCAACCTCTTGAAGGTTGTCCATTAGGGAATGCAACCCTTGGGCTCCGATGCATCCCTCCTCCTCTGCTCTGAGGAGTGCCCCCAAGTGTACAAACCCACTGGAAGACAGCGGTTCCTGATGGCAACCAAGTTTTAAGTGCATTTAGCAAAGTTGGTTCAAGTTCTGCCCTCCCTCCTTCAACTCTCCTTCTCTCTCCCCCGATGCTTCTGTGCTGAAAGCTCCCTGTGAGTGGGGACTTGTCTGTGTTGCCACTAAGTGACTCTGTTAAGGCGCCATGTACATTGAAGTCGCTGCGTGTATAAATAAATACAGTGAATGAGTCAAAGAAAACCCAAACATCATTCATATATATACAGAGAGAGAGAGTCAGTGAAAGGAGAAAATCTTGTTAATAAATTTGTCCTTCTTCCTTAATTCCAAGAAGACCCAAGGAAACCTAAACTCAATTGCTCCTGCTGTTTTAGCTGTTAAGAAAGGGCTTACAATGAGTCACCCTCCAGCAAATACTCACAGAGGAGGGAAGGAAGGGGGGGGACAAGAGGGAGATGACCAAACAAGGTAATGTTTGTTTTAAATTCAGCCTGGAGTAGATATTCTGCAAGATCTATAGGGAGGAGGGGAGAAAAAACATATTTCCTTGCAACCGAGCCGACTGACCTGCAAATGTTGCCAGCTGTCTATGCTAAAGCAACAGGAAACAAGGGAGTCAAGATTATTACCCACCCACCCCCAAATGCACGTGCGGACAGGCTGTAAAATCCCACTTGACTTGATAAGGGATCTGATGGATTCCTTTTGTATTGCAGAACACAAGTCTTCAGCGTGGTTCAACATTGCTCTTGTCAGGAATACTTAGCCATCCGCTTGTAAGGAGCTCAGTGATGCTGCTATTATTGCTGCTGCTGTTGTGGATGGAATGGTCAAGGCTAGGGTTACTGGATCTCCAGTGCTAACCTGAAATCTCCAGGTTTGCCTGTCCCCCTTCTCTGCTTCCTCCACCCCTCTCCCAATTAACCTCTGTCTCCAGGGCTCAGTGGTGGGTGGGAGCTCAGGTGAAGAATCACTAGGACCTGTCCCTGTGACATCATCCTCTCCCAGGTCTCCAGTTTGGACCCTGAAATGCCCAGGGTCTGGGATGTACCCACCATGTCTGCTGGCACCTGCCCTGCCCAGTGAGGTAAAAATACAGTTAAGGCACAATCAGGAAAGGCTTGCATTTAAAAAAAAAAGGTTTTGAAATTTATACAGATTTGGCCTTAAATAGATGGAGATGGGTGGTACGTGGTCTAAACCACAGAGCCTAGGGCTTGCCAATCAGAAGGTTGGCGGTTTGAATCCCCGCGATGGCATGAGCTCCCATTGCTCGGTCCCTGCTCCTGCCCACCTAGCAGTTCGAAAGCACGTCAAAGTGCAACTAGATAAATAGGTACCGCTCCTACTGTGCACTGCTCTGGTTTGCCAGAAGCAGCTTAGTCATGCTGGCCACATGACTTGGAAGCTTTACGTCGGCTCCCTCGGCCAATAAAGCAAGATGAGCGCTGCAACCCCAGAGTTGTCCGCGACTGGACCTAACGGTCAGGGGTCCCTTTACCTTTATCTTTAGATGGAGATCAATAAATTGGGAACTACCCAGCTGAAGGTTCGGTGCTGTGTTTCAGTGTTTGAATCCCATTTTTGTATTAGTGTGATTTTAAAAATATAATTCAAAACCATTTTATTTGTAGATCGCCCTGAAAATGAACATTGAAGGGTGCTATAGAAATCCCTGAAAAGAAATCCTGAGTGTCAGCTGGCAATACACTCTTGGAGGCAGAATCCAGCTCGTTCTTCTTGACGGAAGCTTTCTTGGGCTCCCAGTTACACAAAGAAAAGGGTAACGTGTGTTGGTGAGGCAGGGAGGTTTGCAGATTGGTGAGAAAACAAAGATCTGTTTTCTCTCTTGCCCCATCTGCCCGTAATTGGTTCTGACATGTTTGTGGCACCTGGAATGGAAGGAGGAGGAAGGCGAGTTGCAGAATCAATCTGCCACTGGGTCCTGTTGCTTTGATTGATGAAGGAAAGCAGGCAAGCAGCATCCTTTAAATCAGGCAAATGTAATGGTTTAGGATGGGGTTGCAATCCCTCTGAAAGATCACGCACGCAGCTTACGGGTTCTCCTCGGCAGGAACACAGGAAGCTGCCTTGAACGAAGCCAAAGCAGTCACTCATTTTGCTCAATATTGTATGGGTAGACGACAGCTCAGTTGGTACAGCATGATACTCTTAATATCAGGGTCATGGGTTTGAACCCCACCTTGGGCAAAAGATTGCAGGGGGTTGGACTAGATGACTCTAGCGGTCCCTTCCAACTCTACAATTTTATGATTCTATGAACATTTAGATTGGCACAAGTTAACCAGTGGTTCTCAAAGAGGGTGGCATGCCACACTGCTGTGGCAGGAGAGGGTGGCAAAGTGCGGAAAGATTCAAGGACAATCAAAGAAACATTTAAATATTTCCGTATAGTATAGTATAGTATAGTATAGTATAGTATAGTATAGTATAGTATAGTATAATATCAAAGTATTTTTTATTTACAGTGGTACCTCTGGTTACGAATGGGATCTGTTCCGGAGGCCCATTTGCAACATGAAAAGCCCGCAACCTGAAGCACTGTATCTGCGCAGGTGCGCGGTGTGATTTGGCGCTTGTGTGCATGCACAATTTAGCGCTACTGCATGTGCGCAAGCGGCGAAACCCAGAAGTAACCCTTTCCGGTACTTCTGGGTTGCGGTGGGACACAACCTGAAAAAATGTAACATGAAGCAAACGTAATGTGAGGTATGACTGTATTTGCAGAATAGGAACAGATATTCCACAGCATCGGCTACTCTTCTACAGTTCTCCATGACTGATTGGTGTGAGCATGGATTTTCAACTCTGACACATACAAAAGATCAGAAAAGAGAAAGGTTTCTTTATGCTGATGAGGAGATGAGAGTTTGTTTGCCTCAAATGAGACCAAATATAAAAGAGATCACCCAGCAAAAGCAAGCTCATACCTCTCACCGAGTTTGCAGACATACTTAAGGTACATATGCAAGAGGCTTGTTTATAATTATATTTGGGGAATGACTCATGTTCTTATTGTTTTGTACATTCTGGATGTCCCACAATCATATTATAAAGCTGTCGTCTTCTGGGTTATAAATCAAGCACTGCTAGTTGGTTTCTTTTTGTTCTCCAATGTATTTCTTATCAATGAAAAATTCAGTGTGGGACGAGGAAATTTTTATTCAATGGTGCAGATAAAAAACTTTGACAACCACTGGTCTAAACTGGCTGGCAGAGGCTCTTTGGGCTTTCAGAACAGGAGTCTATTCGCAGACTTACCTGGAATAATAATAATAATAATAATAATAATAATAATTATTATTAGTGCTCCTAGCCATTGGGTTGCCCCAGCCACTCTGAGATGTCAGGGTTTGAATCTTGGGCCTTCTGCCTGCAAAGCAGATGCTCTACCAAAGAGCTATGACCTTAAAATTAAAGTATGGTTCCAGTCTTCATGGTTCTGAGCAAAGGGCTAAATTTAATAAGAACACGGGGAGCTCTGCCTTATTGCAAGTCACACTGTTGGTCCATCTAGCTCAATATTGAGAACACAGTTCTTTTCCCAGGTGATGCAAGTTCTCCTCCATGTCCTCCTCACAAGATGTGTCCAAAAGGTGTTTAAATTAAGCCAATATCCAAGGCTAAGCTGCCATCGAAGGTGAAATGGGAGACTTTTGTTGATACAGATGTAAATACTGATTTGGGGCATTTGTCCTCTAATGGAGGCAACCTAGGCCTTCGTGGAAAATGGAAAATGAGCCCAAATAGTTCCAATGACTCTCAAAAGATTGCAAAAAAGGGTCTTCATCTCAAGAGATGCTCTCTCTCTTTGGCAGTTGTTTTTTTTTACACAACAAGGCAAATTTGTTAAATAATATCCCAGTTTAAAAGATTTATAAAAATAGACCGACGTCTCCGAGTCATCAAAGTCAGAACTGAGTTTTTAGTCAACTTTTGCCTTATAAGTCTTTATTTTCTGGAAGTTCATCTCTGCACCAAGGTAATCGTTTGGCTTCCTTCGCAGATATTCCAAGGGCTGGTCCGTGGGAAACAGAAGATGGTTTTTTTCTGAAATAGCTGGTGTGTTGAGCTGCAGTTACTGCTGAACTGCAACTCACAGCTGCTCTAGTCAGCATGGCCAATGGCCAGGGATGATGGGAATTATAGTCTACAAGGACTGGCAGTGCCATTCCAATGATGTACACAGAATACATTCCAAGTCCTTCTGGGAGATGCTGGGGCTTGAACCTGTGACCTTCTGCATGCAGTGCTGATGCTACACCCCTGAGCCATGTCCCAGGAGCACCACTCTGAATGTAAGGTAAACGTAAAGGAACCCCTGACCATTAGGTCCAATCGTGGCCGACTCTGGGGTTGTGGCGCTCATCTCGCTTTATTGGCCGAGGGAGCTGGCGTACAACTTCCAGGTCATGTGGCCAGCATGACTAAGCTGCTTCTGGCGAACCAGAGCAGTGCACGGAAATGCTGTTTACCTTCCCGCCGGAGTGGTACCTATTTATCTATTTGCACTCTGATGTGCTTTCGAACTTCTAGGTTGGCAGGAGCAGGGACCGAGCAATGGGAGCTCACCCTGTCGCGGGGATTCGAACCACCGACCTTCTGACCGGCAAGTCCTAGGCTCTGTGGTTTAACCCACAGCGCCACCCGCGTCCCTTCACAAGTCTGAATGAGTTAGTTACAAATAGCAAGGGTGCTATTTTCAGAATACCGGGGCTTTCTTCCTTAAAACAATGAAGTCACCTGCCTTTCGAAAGGGAATGGCCCATCCCAAAAGCAAGGAGAAAGTCAAAGAAATGGGAGGAGGGGGGGAGGGAGAGAGCCCCTACCCCCTTCAAAATGCTGGTGTCTGCTTGCTCTCATTTTTTATGCCTGCTTTAATATACACATCCACCCCAAACATTGCAAGTGTCTGTGTAGCTCTGGCTGACGCCATCTATCAGCCGAGAATAGCGACGGCGGAATGTTTGCCCCCATCTCCCAGGTACACAACATGTCTTGCAAAAAAAGAGAAAACCCATAAAAAGATGTATTTACACAATAAACCACAGACAATTGCACAATCTTTCAAGCCTGACGGGGAGAAACATTGCAGCCGGGCTGGAGATAACACGCCGGTTACTCTGCAAACGAGATTGTGTGCTTTCTAAGGTGCGTACGGATAAGAGCCTAACATTGCTACCAACATTTCACTTACGGCGGAATTCAGAGCAGATTTTTCATTGGCCGGGGTGGAATTACCTGGAGTCAAATGTCTCAGAGCAACCAAGGCATAGCGCATCATTCTGCTGTAGGAAGAACACCTGAATTTTGCCACGGCATACCACACCGTTCTGCTATGGGATTTGCAACCACAAGTTGTACTGATGGCCACTTGAGAGCCTTTAAAAGAACAAGTTCATAGAGGATCTGATTAGTCATGATGATTGTGTGCTACCACCATGACTAGAGAATGTCTCTGAATACCAGTTGTTGGAGAACTTGAGATCTATTACACTCATGACCTGCTTATGTGCTTCTTTGTGCATCTGACTGGCCACTGAGAGAACTAAAAGGTGACCCAGATGGGCCTTTGGCCTCTTCTGATGTTTTGATGTTCATAAATGGAGAACCACTCCAGAAAAGGCCAATTCTCTCATTGGACCTCCCACAGTCATCGCTGTTGTTTACTACCACCCTTTCCCATGCATCTACAGAGGCGTGTTACGGTCAACAAAAAAAGAAAGCAATCTACCATTGTACCAGGAGTTGGTGGAATCTGAAGTTTGTTGGGAAATCAGCTCCCTGTAAAACCATGTGAGATCTAGTGCTGGATCATGAATTACTAGGAAGCCGGAAGAGTTTTAAATACCCACCCAAGAAATAGTTTTATTAGGCCTGGCTATATATAGGCATTTGCCGAGGCCAAAATAACTAACTGGAGCTGGCATTGTGTGGCCCTAGAGAACAGCTATATCTGGGTGACCTGGAGGACAGTACAAAATAAAATAAAATAGATCATCGTGGGAAAATGCATCCTACATCCACAATCTCTTTATTCTTTAACAGAAAGCAAAGCAGGATCATTGGGTCGAGAGTGTTTTGCCTTGAGAAGGTGACTTTGGGTCACTTCCCCATTAGGGGTGGAGGAGAAATTCATATTCCTTTTGCAAATTCCTTTTGTTATCCTTGTTTATATCATTGCTATTTAAGTGTATTTTTAATATGACAGCACAAATGTTAATAGTCTAGTTTACTGTTTCATAATGGGTATTATTGATATTTGGGGATTTCTGTCATTGCTATTCTTCATTTTGAACATTGTGTCAAAAAGCGAAAATTGTGCACTGTTCCTGATCAGCATACCATATATAAAGGTAAAGGTAAAGGGACCCCTAACCGGTAGGTCCAGTCACGGATGACTCTGGGGTTGTGGCACTCATCTCGCTTAACTAGCCGAGGGAGCCGGCATACAGCTTCTGGGTCATGTGGCCAGCATGACTAAGCCGCTTCTGGCGAACCAGAGCAGCGCACAGAAACACTGTTTACCTTCCCGCCAGAGTGGTACCTATTTATCTAGTTGCACTCTGATGTGCTTTTGAACTGCTAGGTTGGCAGGAGCAGGGACTGAGCAACGGGAGCTCACCCCATTGCGGGGATTCGAACCGCTGAGCTTCTGATTGACAAGCCCTAGGCTCTGTGGTTTAAACTACACCACCACCCACTGTTTGCATATATAGGATATATGTATTCTCTAACAGGCCTTGGGAAATGTGTGTTTATTCTGTATGTGCACAGAATTCTGTTGCTATATTCCCTGAGGCCTCTTGGAGATTATGCATTTTGACTGGGCAATGTGCACAATACCAGCAGGCTCTTAACTTCTTACATTCTTAAGTGGGACAAAAACACTGCACCCCACCCGTGCAAAATGTCACCAACATTGCCTCGCTCTCCTTCATTCACTATGAATGCAATTTCTTTTCTCATTAATTGATGGAGAATGGTGTGTGTCTGGAGTTCCAACTTGCCCCTGCAACCGTGGGTGCCATGGCCCTGGCACTGAAATTTGTGGGTGCTTGGCCCCTTCATGGGGAATTTTGTGGGTGCTTGGGCACCCAGGGCCCCAGGGAGTTGGCACCTATGGTGTGTGTTTGATGGGGGAAAATGCAGGACCAATTTTTTCAGCACAACGCTAGTGTACACAGATC